TACATTGGTTAAGATTATATGTGACTGTCAGTGTAACGTGAACGAATCACTGATATTTGAAGACATGAAGAGGTGAGCTGAGCAAAGAGACAACAAAACCTTCATAGACAAAACAGCAGGTAAACATTAAATGATTATTTTCTCCTTCTTATAGTTTTCTATTTATGACTTATTTGTCATGTGATCAACCTTTTGGGCTGGTTGTAGATGTGTTTGGAAGCAATCCGTAACATTTTAATAATATTTTGGCAAATTGAACCAAATGAATGAAATGACTTGAAAAAAGATTCGTTCATCTTGATGAACGAGACTTAAAGATCCGAGTCAGTAAAATGATCCATCACTACTCCACACTTGTAAACAATCGCTCCAACAATCGTGCGGCTCTCGGTCCCGCCCAGACTTGTCAGCGCTACCAAGCCCACCAATCACAGAGCTTGTGCTACGAGTCGTTCCACAGCGTAGGGCTATTCGTCAACGCGTAGGCCGCACTGTAGCATACGCGTGCGCTTGAAGCAGAAGTATAGATCAGCCTTTAGAGTCCCACCAGTGACGATAAACTGTGACATCGCAATGCTACGAGTGTGATATTGTGTTTATACAACAGTTCACTAAAAACCCCACTTATGATAGCCTAAAATAAATCTTTATTTTTACTTTTATTTATTTAAAATGTATTTTTCTGGCTACACTCATGCCTTGAAATGTAACTAAGTAACACAATTAGCTACTATTTTTAAAAATGACAATAGATTGTAACATTTAAGTTTTTCCGAACACTGATGGATGATTAGTTGGGCAGTACGTGAAGCATGATTACTCAGGTTATGCTGACTTCACAGTATTTTTGAGTGTTTAGCTTGGATGTGTGGGCATGTGGGCATAGTTTGATGTCTTTACCTAAAACTTTAAACATTTATTTTATTCAAAATAAAATGGAGAATAAAATATAATTTAAAGCACTCGTTTGGCGCTGAAGCCATGATCTGTCTGCGTTAATGTAAAAGGTATCGTTGCATAACCTTCATTGACAAAATCAGTAAACTGTGCATATTATTATTACTATAAAAAGTATATTACTGCCAAAGTAATACCAACTAACTGAATAAATAGCCTAAATGAAAGAAAAAAGAGGGACCAAAATCAGTCATGAGGTCCAGTGCCCCCCTATGGGATTAAAATGCCCCCTCAGTTATGACATCCTGATGGTCATCCTTATCTTTATGTACACACATATATATGTGTGTGTGTGTGTGTGTGTGTGTGTGTGTGTGTGTGTGTGTGTGTGTGTTCAGACAGTTGACCGAGATTCACTGCAAACAGATTCACTCCATCTAAATATTTACACGCTGTGATATCAGAACATGCAGAACCACTGGAGAAGCTAAACAAACGAGTGCTCATTAATGGACCACCAGCACACGAGAAAAGAGAAACGCAGACACCCTTCAGTCTTCATTGAGGAAAGCTTTATATTTCAGAGCACTGATGGACTTCTTTCCACCTTCAAATATTTAAAATACATTAGATACATCGTTTCAAATGTACAGTGTCATTATTCTGGATCATCTGTGTGATTTAAAAGGGACAGTTCACCCCCCAAAATAAAAAGTTCCTCATCATTTACTCAGTGGTTTTATACTTTTATGAATTTCTTTCTTCTGTTGAACACAAAACAAGATATTGTGAAGAATGTTGGGGGGAAAGCAGCCATTGACATGTATAATAGGAAGAGAAAACACTGTGGAAGTCAGTGGCTGTTTTTCAGCATTCTTCAGCATATCTAGTGTTCAAAAGTTGAAAGAAACTGAAATAGGTGAGTAATGATGACAGAATTTTCATTTTGGTCGAACTGTCTCTTTAATGTCTTAAAGGGATAGTAAGTAAAAAAAAAAGGTTTGCTATTAATTTGCTCACTCTCAGGTCATCCAAGATGCATAAGAGCTCTTTCAACAGTAGAACAAAGGAGAGTTTTAGCTTAAATTGTGGTCATTGGTGATACTCAAGTCAATGGCAACCAGCACTTTGAGAGTTAAAAACACATACAGGCAAAACAAAGGTAAAACTCCTGCTGACAAACTGAGGTCTAATGAAAGGGAAATGATCAATCTACGCAAGAAAAAGAACATTGTTTACAACATGACTGGCATAAATGCACCCAGGAACATTAGTTGAGGCAATAATATTGCAATAAAATGTGATTTCTTTCATAGACTGATTGTTTTTTTTTTGTTGTTGTTGTAAAAGACCTTGATTTATTATAAAGAGCAACAGGTATTAATTTTATTTTGCATATATGTGTTATTTTGGGTAAGTACCAGAAACAGCTGACTGTTTTTTATTTTTTTTGGAAAATTTTATTTTCTGAGCTGTGGCAAAAAAACACTCCGAAATCAATTCTGCATTTACATTTTTCAACAGCAGATGGCGCTCCAGACTATTTTTTTAACAGCAGATGGCACTCTAATCTAGTTTTAACCAGCAGAAGGCGCTCTAAGCTAGTTTTTAACTGCAGCAGACGCCCTTCTAATCTACTTTTTACCAGCAGATGGCGCTCTAAGCTACTTTTTAACTGTAGCAGACAGCACTCTAATCTAGTTTTTACCAACAGAAGGCAATCTAAGCTAGTTTTTAACAGCAGATGTCGCTCTAAGTTAGTTTTTAACAGCAGACGACACTTTAGGCTAGTTTTTAACAGCAGATGTCGCTCTAAGCTAGTTTTTAACAGCAGATGTCGCTCTAAGTTAGTTTTTAACAGCAGACAGCACTCTAGGCTAGTTTTTAACAGCAGACGTTGCTCTAAGTTAGTTTTTAACAGCAGATGTAGCTTTAAGTTAGTTTTTAACAGCAGATGTCGCTCTAAGTTAGTTTTTAACTGCAGACGTTGCTCTAAGTTAGTTTTTAACAGCAGACGTTGCTCTAAGTTAGTTTTTAACAGCAGATGTAGCTTTAAGTTAGTTTTTAACAGCAGATGTCGCTCTAAGTTAGTTTTTAACAGCAGACGTTGCTCTAAGTTAGTTTTTAACAGCAGACGTTGCTCTAAGTTAGTTTTTAACAGCAGATGTAGCTTTAAGCTAGTTTTTAACAGCAATCGACACTTTAGGCTAGTTTTTAACAGCAGACGTCGCTCTAAGTTAGTTTTTAACAGCAAATGGCACTCTAGGCTAGTTTTTAACAGCAGATGGTGCTCTAAGCTAATTTTTAACTGCAGCAGATGGCACTTTAATCTAGTTTTTACCAGCAGATGGCACTCTAAGGTAGATTTTAACGGCAGATGGTGCTCAAGGCTAGTTTTTAACAGCAAACGTCACTTTAGTCTAGTTTTTACCAGCAGATGGCGCTCTAAACTTGATTTTAACAGCAGATGGTGCTCTAGGCTAGTTTTTAACAGCACATGACGCTCTAAGCTAGTTTTTAACAGCAGATGGCGCTCTTAGCTAGTACTTACCAGCAGATGGTGCTCTAAGCTAGTACATACCAGCAGATGGTACTCTAAGCTAGTATTTAACAGCAGATGGCGCTGTAAGCTAGTATTTAACAGCAGATGGCGCTGTAAGCTAGTATTTAACAGCAGATGGCGCTGTAAGCTAGTATTTAACAGCAGATGGTGCTCTAAGTTAGTTTTAAACAGCAGATGGCGCTGTATGCTTTACAAACAGCCGTATTCTGCTTCCTTCCAATTCCTAGCACATAACACATGTGAATAAATTAATCGTTATTGGAACAAAAACGTGCGTTAGGTTTAAGCGAACTACAGTGTTTATAGTGAGCTGTGTTTACAATAATCTCATGACATAAAAGCTCATTTATATGATTAGACCAATGCAATCACTTTTCCATTTGTGTGTATAGTTAAAAAAAAACTAGCCTAGAGCATTATCTGCTGTTACAAACAGGCTGAACATGCCATTTGATGTTAAAAACTAGCCTAGAGCACCATCTGCTGTTAAAAAACTAGCCTAGCATGCCATTTGATGTCAAAAACTAGCCTAGAGCATCATTTGATGTTAGACTAGCCTCGCTATCTGTTGTTAAACACTTGCCTAAAGCATTGTCTACAGTTAAAAACTACCCTCGAGTGTTGTCTGCTGTTAAAAACTAGCCTAAAGTGCCGTCTGCTGTTAAAAACTAGCCTAGCACCCCATTTGATGTCAAAAACTAGCCTAGAGCATCATTCAATGTTAGACTAGCCTTGCTATCTGTTGTTAAAAACTACCCTAGAGCGTTGTCTGCTGTTAAAAACTAGCCTAGCATGTCATTTGATATCAAAAACTAGCCTAGAGTGCCGTCTGCTGTTAAAAACTAGCCTAGAGCATTGTCTGCTAAAAAAAAAAAATTGCCTAGAGTGCCATCTGCTGTTAGAAACTAGCCTAAAGCACGGTTGTTAAAAAATAGCCTAGGGTGCGATCTGTTGTTAAAAACTAGCCTGGAGAGTCGTTTGCTGCTAAAAAACAGCCTAGGGCACCATTTGCCGTTTAAAACTAGCCTAGAGCACCATCTGAGCCTAGAGTGCAGTTTGCTGTTTAAAACTAGACTAGAGCATCGTCTGTTGTTAAAAACTAGCCTAGAGCACTGTCTGCTGTTAAAAAAACTAGCCTAGAGTGCCATCTGCTGTTTACAACAGCCTAAACAGCTGTTCACTGTAAAAAAAAATAGCCTAGAGCGATGTCTATGATTTAAAAACTAGCCTAGAGCACCATCTATTGTTAAAAAACTAGCCTAGAGTGCCATCTGTATTGAAAACTAGTCTAGCAATTTGCAGTTAAAAACTAGCCTAGTCATCTGCTATATGAAAAACTAGCCTAGTGCGCAAAAAGAAAATAGTGTAGATGTATATAGAGAAAATAGTGATGCATTTGGACCATCTCAGAATATATTACTCTACTTATTTTTTACCACAGCTCTATTATTTTTGTATAAATAACCAAGGACCTTTGTTAATGGGCTTCTGAAGAATAAAAGTGGATGGTGTCAGAGCAAATCAACAGCAACATCCCTTCAACATCGCAGCTTTACCCTAAACATTATCGGTCATCCACCAATGTGATCACTCTCTCTATCTCTCTGGGAAAATCGCATGATCATTCTCTCATATACAGTTACATAATAATTCAGAGCGATGTCTTTGAATAAAAAAGAAGCAATTTATACACGTACTGCATGTTTAAAAAACAGACGATCTTAAAAATATATCTTGTTTAACTCAGACAGCACCCCGGACAGGGTTTCTTTTTTTCAGGAAATGAGGAGTATTACTTCTGTCATTAATAATCACAGTTTAACTAGTTGGAAATGTACATTAGATCATACAGGTGAAGGAGGAGCGGGCGGTCCAGTGGACGGTGCTGTGGTCATCCGGCGGTCATCAGACACGTCCGGCAGCAGAACTGACGAAAGAGCTTCTTCTCACATAACCGGTTGGACTTGACCATCTCACAGAAAACTTCATCTGCTGTCAGAGAAAGAAATGTGAGGTTTAGAGCACTAGGTAGTGAACACTTCACTCAATGTTGACTGTTTAGATTTAGCATATTGAAACACAGTATGGTTTGCATTTGCAGAGAGAACCATGCCATTAGACACTCATTTGAGGCTCAGAAGTTTATGAAAATCATACAAAATGACAAAGATACAGACTGTGAACTTAAAGGGATAGTTCACCCAAGAATGAAAATCTTTTTAGCAGAGAGTCCGTCAGGTTTTTGATTGTGGCCTATCGAACATTGGTCCACTCCTCTTTAATAGCTGTGTGTAGTTGCTGGATATTGGCTGAAACTGGAACACACTGTTGTATACATCAATCCAGAGCATCCCAAATATTGCTCAATAGATGACATGTCTGGTAAGTATGCTGGCCATGCAAAAGCTATGATGTTTTCATAGTGTCATCTGCTGTTAAAACTAGCCTAGAGCGCTATCTGCTGTAAAAATAGCTCAGAGCAACTGGTGGTTTCTCAACTGGTGGTTTGGGTCGCGGGAACATTTTCAGTGGGTCGCGGAGTGTGTGATCAAAAAACAACAAAAGTTTAATATTTAACTTATTTTGCTTATATCGGACTTTTATTTTGAAATGCGCGTGCGACAACTGTACCATTGGTATATGCCGAAGCTTGCTAATGGGACTTTTAATTTGCCAGTAACCTGGGACAAGCACTTTCGGCGAACGAGTTTGTGAAGTGTCATCGGTTCACTATTCCTCCACTGCACACCAAGTGCAAACACAGATTCACGGACACTGGAGCATTTTGAAGCTGCGTCGATTAGTCCATCCATCATCAGCGGATAGCTCATGTGTCAACTCAGACAGATCAGCTGATAGACGCGGCTTTGAAATCATCCGGTGTCCACATACTTGTGTAGGCACTTAGTGAAGAGTGGAAAGCTATTGACCTTCACAGCCAATCACAGTAATTTCTGTTGAGCACGTGAACACAATGGCCAATCAGTGGTTTTTAAGAACATACTAAAATGTTAGCGGGTAATGGACGGTTTTATATTTTCAGTACTGAAGTCGATACTTTTGACAACCCTACATATGGTCTGTTTTAAGGATTTCATTGCTATTTTTCTAGACCCCTGCTGTTTATGGAGGATGAGAAAGCTCTCAGATTTCCTCCAAAATGTCTTAATTTGTGTTTCCTAAGTCTTTGGAACGACATTAGGGTGAGTAATTAATAACAAAACTTCCATTTTTTAGGTGAGCTAACACTTTTCGTGAATCTATCTGAAGGAACGTACCATTATTACAGGTGGCGTTGACGATGCACGTGCGACTCACGAGGCTGTATCCGTCTTTACACTGCGTACAGCTTGTCCCGGGACCCTGACAGCTCAAACAGTTTTCCTCACACCTGAAGACAACACACACACACACACACCTCACATGAGCCGCTGCTGCTTTTGATGCCTGAAAACATTAGAGTTGATGAAACGAAACTGACAGACTTCCTGAAAACACAAGGGAAGCCAGATGAGCAGAACATGAGCATCATTGCATGAATATGCATGAAGCGGATGATCAGGTGTGAAGCATCAATGCCAGTGAGTGACAGCCATTAACTGAGCCAATGCTTGATTCATAAATGGGTATTTAATCAGAAAAAAAGGTATTTGGAGCTTTAAATCCTTGTTTTAAACCACTGATTTGAGTAAAAAAAAAAAAGATATGTTATTTCACAACATGATCAAATTTCATGTTTAATCTTAAGATTTTTGGTCCTTATTGACTTCCATAGAAACTGATTTGTCAACTTGGTCAAGCTGTGGTGTTTACATAATTAATTTTCACATTTTGCCCTAATAGGCTTCCATTGATCTCACATTTTAAACCACTGTTTTGAGTAAACAAGGACATGTTGTCATAACATGATTAAATTTCATGTTTAATTTGAAGTTTTTTTTGGCCCTTATTGACTTCCATACCAACTGACTTGTTGACTAGGTCAAGCTCTGGTGTATACATAATTAATTTTCACATTTTGCCTTAATAGCCTTCCATTGATCTCAGATTTTAAACTACTGATTCGACTAAACAAGGATATCTTATGCCATAACATGTTTAAAGTTCATATTAAATTAGAATTTTTTGGCCCTAATTGACTTCCATACTAACCAAGTTGTTGACTTGGTTAAGCTATGGTGTTTAGATTATTATTTTTCACATTTTTCCTTAATAGCCTTCCACTGATTGCAGGTTTCTAACCACTTATTTAAGTAAACAATGACATCTGATGCGATAACGTAAATAAATTTCATGTTTAGTTTGAATTTTTTGGCCCTAATTGATTTCCATAGAAACTTACTTGTCAGCTCGGTCAAGCTGTGGTGTTTACATAATTCATTTTCACATTTTGCTCTAATAGCCTTCAATTGATCTTGTTATGAACCAATGACTTCAGTAAGCAAGAATATTTTATGTCATAATATGATCAAATTTAACATTTAATTTTAAGATTTTTGGCCTTAATTGACTTCCACGCTAACTTGGTAACCAAGCTGTGGTGTTTATATTATTACTTTTCACATTTTTCCCTAATAGCCTTCCACCGATCTCACACTTTGAATCAATGATTTAAGTAAACAAGGGCATTTTATGACAAAACATGAATACATTTCATGTTTATTTTGAAGTTTTTTGGCCATTATTGACTTCCATACTAACTGACTTGTTGACTTGGTCAAGCTGTGGTGTATACATAATTAATTTTCACATTTTGGCCTAATAGCCTTCCATTGATCGCAGGTTTTGAATTTCTGATTTGAGTAAACAAGGATATGGTATGCGATAACATGATCAAATTTCATGTTTAGTTTTGAAAGTTTTGACCCTGTTTGACTTCCATAGAAACTGATTTGTCAACTTGATCAAGCTGTGGTGTTTACAATATTAATTATCCCTTTTTCCCTGATAGCCTTCCATTGATTTCACATTTTGAACCGCTGAGTTGAGTAAACAAGGGCATCTTATGCCAAAACATGAAAAAAAATTTCATGTTTAATTAGAAGTTTTTTTGGCCCCAATTGACTTCCATACTAGCTTACTTGTCGACTTGGTCAAGCTGTGGTTTTTACTTAATTAATTTTGACATTTTTCCCTAATAGTCTTTCACTGATTGCAGGTTTTGAACCACTGATTTGAGTAAACATGGACATTTTACACCATAACATGATTAAAATTCATATTAAATTGAATTTTTTTGGCCCTAGTTGACTTCCATACTAACTGACTTGTCAACTTGGTAAAGCTGTAGTATTTACATAATTAATTTTTACAGTTTGCCCTAATAGCCTTCTGTTTATCTCACATTTTAAATGACTGATCTAAGTAAACAAGGGCATTTAATTTTAAGATTTTTGGCCCGAATTGACCTCCATACTAACTGACTTGTCAACTTGGTCAAGCTGTGGTGTTTACCTAATTCATTTTCACATTTTTTTCCTAATAAGCCTTTCACTGATTGCAGGTTTTGAACAAATGATTTGAGTAAAAAATGATATTTTGCGCAGTAAGATGATTATATTTTATATTAAATTCAATATTTTGGCCCTAGTTGACTTCCATGCTAACTTACTTGTCAACTTGGTCAAGCTGTGATGCGTATATATTATTAATTTTTACATTTTTCCCTATTAGCCTTCCATGTCAAATTTGAAACACTGAATTGCGTAAACAAGGATATGTTATGACATAACAATCAAATTTCACGTTTATTTTAAGATTTTTGGCCCTAATTGACATCCATACAAACTGACTTGTTGACTTGGTCAAGCTCTGGTGTTGACATAATTCATTTTAACACGTTGCTCTAATAGCCTTCAATTGATCTCATGTTTTGAATTACTGATTTGAGTAAACAAGGGAATCTTATGCCATAACATGTTTAATTTTAAGATTTTTGGCCCTAATTGACCTCCATACTAACTGACTTGTCGACTTGGTCAAGCTGTGGTGTTTACTTAATTATTTTTCACATGCTCTGCTATGCTAGTTGTTGACATTTACTAAAACAGATAAGAATAATTGGTGCTGGGCCACAATTAACTCAATTACAACTTTTTTGGGAGTAATTAATTAAAATTGTGCTTATGCTACAAATGAACTGTGTGGTTTTTAACGAACAAAAAAGCACCACTGTTTGATAAAATAACATTTAATAAAGAAGCTTGATATGTTAGCTGCATTTAAGGGATTAGGCTATCAATAAACATTAGCAGTTGTTTTGTGAAAGCAGTTTTTATGCATATTTAAGCCGAGTTTTCACTGCATTTTTCCAGCTTTTGGCTTTTCGAGCGCTTCAAAACAGCGGTTCATTCTGTTCATTGTATTTTCTGTATTGCTTATTTAGAGCAAGCTCTCACTGTAGCTGAATGCAGACGATGACATGAGCATAACTGTACTATAACAGCGATACTGTGCTTTTGTAGGTTTATTTTTATGGGGCTGAACAGAGTTTAGAGCTTGTTAATTCAGCCGAGCCCAATAAACATCTCTGTATCTGCTGCTTCGGGTCATTAATTCTGGAGTTAAAAGAGATCACGTATCCTGATGTGGCTCTGACAGCCCAAAGCGTTCACTGTGAATGAGAATTAATGCTTGTTAAGTTCACGTCTTATTCGCGCTGCAATTGAGAGTCAAACGACACTCTGATAATGCTGCTGCAACAACTTATTCCTATGCCATTGTTAACCCTAAAGGTGACTCTTCTAAAGCATAGAAATATCATAAGGAGTTATTTAGCAGATATTTAGGAAACATGCTAAGTGGACATGTTTGTTTATCTGAAAAACAACGCTAAAGTCAGTTATTCTCCTTTGGAAATGTGTGTTCCATGTCTGTCTTTGTTTTGGTCTCTGTAATCAGCTCACTGCCAGCTTACTCAATTATATTTCAGCACAATGAGTTGTCTAGACAGAAAATACAGAGTATATAATTTCAGTTATGAAGGTTTACTCAGTGTATGTGGGTCTGGCCGAAATTGTGACCTCCAAATTTCGACCAATTAGCGTCTCATCTCACATTACCTTTAAGAGTCAGTTGTGTCACGCCATGGCCCATTTGCTATTTACATGGTGGACTTTGTAAGTGGAAAAACCGAACGCTTTACTAGTGAGAAAACAGAGCATCTGCAGCGCGAGGATAAAGAATGAGCCTCCTCCATTCAGCCCCTTTACTTTACTCTTTACTTTGCTCCTTTACTTTCGTGGATCAGAAAACGATGTTGTGCTCACTCCACTGAAGACATCCATTAGTCTACATAATTAATTTCGTTTGTTAAGCGCAAAGATTTGTTTCAAAACTAATTCTAAATTCATTTTTTAATTTCCAGCAAACGAATAAATGAACATTAATAGCGAAGTGTGAAGTTCTATCCAAACACACATCTTATATCTGTATATAATGTTCATAGCAGGGGCGTCGCTAGACCCCATTTATTGGGGTAAAAATCACCAGTGGTCCAGTAAATGCTTTGAGATTTGTGATTTACTATATATACTTCATATGGAATTAAGAGTCGTAATACCAAAATAAAGACGTTATTCTCAACATCAACCGAACCAACGCTGGTGAAAGCAATGTAGTTTAATTAAAAAGCAAACTGAGCAAGTGTGCAGAAAAAAACATAGCCGTGCAGCTCACGCACCACTCCTGCTTGACACTTATGACGTGCTGCTCTGCTCCCGGTTGCAAACATGCACGCTGGAAAAAAAAAATTGCTGCGCTGCTTAAGCGCCGCTCAGGCGTTGTGAAACCGGTGTAACAGTCTTCTTATGGAGTTAAATTTGTTTCTTTATTATTCAATCAAAAATATTTAGTTTTAAAGAAAATTAAGTACGTAGCAATTAAAAAATAATAAATTCATTTTGAACAAATCTTCAATATGATTCGGGAACTACGAGTCCTCTCAGGGAGTGATTCGTTCATCCGCGTGTGCGCACATTTGTGCAGGTGATATCGTTCATTTCAAATATAATCACATTGGCAGAAGCCAATCATATGCGTTTTGAGGCGGAAAACGAATTGATCCACTCATCTCTCGAGTCCTCTATCGGGTCTGAGTCACTCGTTCCTCACGGGCCAATCATATGCGTTTAGAGCCGGAAAAAGAATTGATCCGCTCCCCTCTCGAGTCCTCTATCGGGTCTGAGTCATTCGTTCATCACGGGCCAATCATACGCGTTTAGAGCCAGAAAACGAATTGATCCACTCATCTCTCGAGTTCTCTATTGGGTCTGAGTCACTCGTTCATCACGGGCCAATCATACGCGTTTAGAGCCGGAAAAAGAATTGAACTGTTCATCTCTCGACTCCTCGGGTTTGAGTCATTCTGTCACGTAAACAACGAACGATCAT